CTCCGGCCTCTCTCCAGAGCAGTTTAGGAGCTGGAAAAGCCATTCCTCCCTCGGCCCAAGAGCTCCCTCCCCCACACCACATCCGCTTTGCCAGTTCCGAGCTCGAGCCTGACTTCCAGCTTCCAGCGTGGGCAGCTCTTTGAGAACCTTTCTCCCGGCTGCTGGATCCTGCACACCCGGTCCCAGCATCCCTGATCCCAGAACCAGAGACCTGGAGGAGCCGGTGTAGGAAGACCTCTCCCGAAGGCCCCAGGGGAGAACTTTGACGTGCGGCTGACAGTTCGCCCCCGGCGACCACAGGGACCTGCTGCACACCCCCGTCTCTATCCACTCTTCCCCTTTGCAGCCTGACTTCCGCCTGGGGTGGTTTCCTGGGGTCCCCAACCAAATAAATGACTTGCATTAGAACTCTAATCTCAGCCTGCTCCAGTTGGAGGCCAAACAAGCGAAGGTGACTCAGTTTAAAACTGGAAGAGAGGGTTTCCGGGTCCAGCTGTGACACGTAAAGAGTTTGGAAACCACTGCTCTCACACTCACAAGAGAACAGCAAATAAATGGAACATTAAGCACTTTTCTTGGTCCACCAGAGCATGGAGGACTCGGCAAGCTGCCACCCCAGGTCTAGACAAGCAGGCGAATACAGAGAATCAGAGCTGAGGACGCCCTAGTCGGCAAAGGATCCTGGAGGGGTGCAAAGGGCCCCTCGGACCACCGCTGAGTGGCTGAGCCCAAGGGCGAGGACCGGAGCCCCACATTCGGGCCTGTTCCTTGGTCACCTTATTCTCGGTTCAGATCAAAGAAGGCTCCTCTGTCTCAGGAAGGACAGGGGGAAGTAACCATTTTGAAATATGCTCAGGGGACAAATAGACATTTTGAGATATTCCCAAAGTGTTTTCCACAAGGAAGTCTTTGCCTCTAAGAGGAAACACTATATCAGAGCCTCATCTGGGCGGGGAGAGGGAAAGAAAGTCAACGCCACCCCCCCACCCCACCCCACTCCACCCCAAGCCGACTTCCTGTCTCAAATGAGACAAGGAAAAAAGTCTAAGAAACGCTTTTGAAGGAAGGCAGGAGGTTGAATCATATTACTGTACTTAGGGAAACCCAAAGAGAGAACAAGTAAAGTCCTGAAAGGGTCACTGGGCGTGGTGGCACCATCCTCACCAGTAACTGGGGACTCTGGCATGCTGAGGAAAAGAGGATTTCAAATCCAAACCCAGCCTGAACAAATATACTTCCAAAGACCCTGTCTCAAAACAAAAACTGAAAATTCAGCTCTGTACATTTTCAATCCCTACGACCTAAACAAAAACAAACAAAGCCATTCATCATAGCATAGCTTCTGGCCTGATTAACACTAAATCTCAACCAAGGCCAGGCATGGTGGTGCACACCTGTAATAGCAGCACTCGGGAGGCTGAGGAAGGAGTATCACAGCAAATTCAAGGCCAGCCAGGGCTACAAAGTGAGTTGAAGGCCAGCCTGCACTACATAGCGAGACCCTGTCTCAAAACAAACAAACAAACAAACAAACAAACAAACACCTAATTATCTCAGTTTTCACTGAGGTAGGAGAGAAGAAATAAATATAGGTAAAAGGAAAATTTAAAAATTGTAATTTTAACATTGTACTTTTAAGAAAACTATTTCTTTAGGACACACTCAGTGTCACCCAAGTTTATAAAACTTTTTTCAACCCTCAGCCTGTTTTCCTCTTCAGACTTTTCACTGCTAAATTCCTGTGTCCAAAAAGATAATTCTGGGCTGGGGATTTATCTCAGTGGTTCGGCCACCTGCCTCGCAAGCGCAGGGACCTGAGTTTGATCCCCAATACCAAGAATAAATACATAAAATTTTTAAAAAATATAATTCTGTAAATTGGGCCCATGCTTGTCTTCCCATACTGTAGACTCATAAACTGCACAGATGTCCATCTCAAGGAAATAGCACTGCTGATCAGGTACCGTGTCTCTAAGTTTCAAACACCTGCACCTGGGTGGTCCACTCGTGGGACAGACAGAGGAAAGCACATTCTACACCAGTGGTGGCGAACCTATGTTTGTATCACTGAAAGCTCTAAAAGGTTCGCCATCCCTGTCCTAGGCCATCCCCAAGCACATACACATCCCAGCGTTAGGTCCTAACTCTCTCTGCCCCTTGAGCACCCACACTCCCTTCCAATGTCTCTCACTGCCTCTCGATGCCACGTCCTGAAATGCTTTTTTATGGCAAGGCAAGAACTTATTCCGTGGTGTGGGGGGCAAGGTGAGGCCCCATCTCCTCTTTGGGGGACTCCTGTTAGGGACACTGTTAATACATTGTATCTGGCTTTCAACAAAAGAATTACAAAGCACCCTAAAGACAAGAAAAAGACAATGTGCAGAGGAAAAAGCAACCAGAGCCAGACTGAGCTATGGCACCGATTTTGGAATTATCAGATAAGGGATTTAAAATAACTACATGTAATGTGGCGCTAGGAGATCAAATGCAAGTAGGCAACATGAAAGCAAAGAAATGGAAACTCCAAAAGTCAAAGAAAATGCCGGAATTTGTAAAAAAAAAAAAAATACACAAAGGAGGAACAAAGAATGTTTTTTACGGACGGTTCAAGTAAGCTTGAAGATGTGCCATTAGATACTTCCTCAGTGGGAGTGCAAGGGAGAAAGAATGCAAGAAAATGGAACAAAATTCCAAGAACTATAAGACAAGTACATGTATTACCTCCACAGGATGTGATACATATGCATAATGGGAATAACAGAAGGAAAGCATGGGAAAGGAACAGAAGGAATAATTGAATTAATAATGGCTGAGCATTTCCCAGATTAATTAACATCCATCAGCAGATCCAGGAAGCTCACAGAACACCAAGGAGAGAAAATACCAAAGACTATACGTAATCACACCATATTGGAACTAAAACAATAAAACCTTGAAAGGAACCAAAAAATTCTTGTCATAAACTGTGCAAAATATTTAAAGTGTTAAAAGAAATCCCATTAACCTAACCTAGAGACCCCCACACACAGAGGATCAAACCCAGGACCTTGCACATGCTAGGCAAACAGTCTACCTCTGAACTACATCCTGATATCTAACCTAAATTTTTATAGCCAGCAAAATTATCCTCCCAAGATAAAGAAGAAACACTTTCTCAGACAAGCAAAAACCTAAGGAATTTGTTACCAAGAGACCTGCTTTCCAAGTGATGTGAAAAGTCATTCTTCAGAGAAAAGGAAAATAACATAGGTCAGAAACTTTAATCTACCTAAAGATGTCAGAGAAAATGAATGAACTGTTAAATAAAGATTTTAGAAAAATTCTTAATTTTCAAAGTAACAGTAGCAACAATGCCATGAGTGGTTATAACATATGGACAAAGGAAATGGATGGAGCCAGGAGGAACCAGCCAAGGGGTGAGGGGAGCTGGGGACACCTGTGCAGAGGAGGTATCTGCCCTCCTGTGACAGCATAATACTGTTGCAAGTGGCTTCAGATGAGGTTGGAAATGCTTATTGTAGACTCTACAGCTACCATTACATGTTTCCGCAAATGAGTTTTATTCACAGATAAACAACAAGTCTGGTTCTAGATGTTTCTTTCTCAGGCATATCCACTCGTTTTATTAGAAAGCAAAGCCTTGTAAGTGGAGACTTTGTCTCATCCTCAGATCCCCAGCTACCAAAGTTCAGAGGTCCTTGTCAGAGGCAACCCCATCAGGCCAATCACAAAGACTTTTCTTTCTTTTTCCAGTATTTCTCGGCAATATATTTCAAATAAGGAACTGTAGCTCAGAAACAATTCTACTCTGGAAACATTCAACATGAAAAACATTCTCAAGATTGCCAGCTTTTCCACTGAATTAAACCTTCTCCCATAGAAACTGTTCTTATTTTAAAATGAAAAAAAAAAAAAAACTAAGCAAGAAAACTCAAAATATTCACTAAGGAAGATTTCCAAAATTTCCACAACCAATTACACCTTCAGAGTTGGAGGTGTAGTAAAGCTATGGACTGCTTGCTGTACATGTGAGATCCTGGATTAAATCCACAGCACGGCAAGTAAAACAAAATAAAAATCCATCCTCTACCAGACAAATAAGGGTCTAAGGGACCTCTCAGACTTCTTGTCTTTCTGAGGTGGCTTCTTGAGAGTGATCTGGGGCAAACAAAAAATTTAAAGTATAACTGATATACCAGAGAAAAGAGAACCCTGAATCATACAAAATGTTCAATTAAAAGTGGAGAAAGCAGAAAAGGTTTTTTTAGAAAAAAACAAAGGCAATGAACAGAAAACAGTTACCGATGTGGGAGACATTAATATCAATCACCACTTCAATGCCAGTGGTCCAAACATACCAGCTAGAAGACAAACACTTACAGGAGAGAAAAGACCCAACTGTATGTTTTCTACAAGAAACTAACTCTAAATATGAAGACACGTTTAGGTCAAAAGTAATGGGATGGACAAAGATATAGCAGCACTAACCAAATGTCAGCTGCAATGCCTTTATTATTACAGAAAAACAGACTTCAGAATGAGGAATGTTAACAGGGATAAAAGGCATTAAATCACAGAAGGGTCAATTCTCCAAATCTTCTACTCACACACACACACACACAAACACACACCCCTAAAAACAGAGTCATATTTTGTATTTTTGTATTTCATGATGGAAAATGAGAGGACTTCAAAAAAATAGACAAATCCAT